TGATCTCTAAATTTGTCAATCAAAGTCAGAAACCCAGTAAGCTTTTATTTTGTGGAAATTTACACCCTGATTTAAATTTTTTGAAATGCACTTTATTTTTCAGAACAATATAAATTTACCAAAAAAGTTCAAAGATAGCACAGGGTTCCCCTACACTCTGCATTCAGTTCCCTTATAATACCTATTACAGCAGTATTGCACATTTGATATAATTAATAAGACAACATTTACACATGTTTGTTAACTAAAATCCATAATTTATTCATATTTCCTCAAGCTTTTACCTATGTCCTTTTTGTGTTCCAGGATCCCATGCAGGTTATCACGTTGCATTTAGTTGTCATGCACCCTGAGGCTACACTTGGCTGTTACAGACTTCCCTTGTTGTTGATGATCTCAATAGTTTTGAGGAGTGCTAGGTAGGTATACTTAAGCATATCCCTCAACTGAGATTTGTCTGATGTTCTCATCCGTAGACTGGGGTTCTGTGCTTTGGGGAGGACCACCCAGTGCCATTTGTATCACTTCATCTCAAGAGTACAAACAGACAGTATGACTTATCACTGTTGATGTTAACTTTGCTCACTGAGGTAGTGTTTGTCAGATTTTCCACTCTAAAGTTACTCTTTCTTCCCCTTCCATATGAGTCTATAAATACTTCCTTGGAAGGGAATCATTTATGTGCAGTACACACTTAAGGAATAACGAGTTAGGTCCCACCACCGTCAGGCGGAAGCATCTCCATACTTTATTTGGATTTATTCTGCACAGGAGATTTGTCTCATGTCCCCACATGTTTAAGTATTCAGTCATTTTCTACTACTATGGACTCATGGATATTTACTTTATATTTTGGGTTATAATCCAATATTACATTTGTTGTTTCTGTTGCTCAAATTGTTCCAGCTTTGGCCACTAGGACTTCTTTTACTTAGTTGCTCAACCGCTTTGACATACCCCATGGTTTTAAGTGTTTCCCCACCTTCTAGAATTACAAAAATCTCCAGGCTCTTATATATTTCCTACCTTTGTCTTAGAATCAGTCATTTTTCCAAGGAGCTCTGATTTCTTTTACTGGGTAATAGATTTATAATAAAAACATGGCCATTACGTGAAATTTTCTTTTTCTTTGCAAAAAAAAAAAGTGTGGAAACAATTTTGAAGAAGAACAAAGAAGAATTCACATTATTTGAAGACAATATAAAATCACAATAAAGATACTGATGAAAGAAGATAAGATATTCAGATCAATGAAAGTGGATAGAGAGTTTAGAAATAAATCCACACATAATTGGCCAATTGATTTCTGACAGAAGTGCCATGATATTTCAATAGAAGAGTACAGTTTTCAAAAAGTGGTGCTGAAATAATTAGACATCTCAATGCAAAACAATTTAAAAAGGAACTCAATCCCCACTTTGCACCATATACAAAAACTAGCATGAAATGTACTAAAGATTCAATGTAAATTTAGAGCTTCTAGAAGAATGCATAGGAGAAGAAATCTCAACTTCAGGTTAATTAAAGATTTCTTAAAACACAAAAACCATCAATTATAAATTAAAAAATTAATTGCACTTCATAAAATTAAAAGCTTCTGCTGATCTAAACTTCTAAAACGTCTAAAGGCAACGTTGAGAATAAAAGGTAAGACTGGAAGATGCTGTTTATAAAACACATGACTGATAAAATGTCAGCATCCAAAATATATAAAGAAAGAACTCTCAGAACTCAATAATAAGAAAACAATCAAACTAGTAAAAATAGGCAAAAGATTTTAATCAGCATTTACCATAGGAGATACGTGGTTAACAAAAAACAAGGAAAGATGGTGCACATCATTTATTCACTAACGAAATACAAATTTAAACCAGAATTAAATTATACTGCGCCTTTATCAAAATGGTTAAAAAATTGACAGTATTAAATTTCGGGAAGATACAAGCAAATGGAACTGTCGCACACTGTTGATTGAATGCAAAACGGAACAGCCCCTTTGAGAACAGCCTGGTGGTCTACCTGCTGATGTGGAAACAGACTCAGAAGTTTGGACTTGCCAGAAAGCACATTAGCTATTAGTGGTGTAGGTCACAAACAAGGGTCTGATTCAAGGTACTGTTTATTCTCTTTCCAGTATACCCTACTGTATTTCTCCTGCAAATTAAGGAATCGAACAGAAATGCATACACAATTCATACACAATAATGACTTTAATTATTGTTGACATTACATGCCAGATAAAATGTGCATGAGAGTGACTGTGGTTTGCAAGATGACTTACTAAATCTGTGTGAGTTGCAGAAATCGAGCATACAGAACTTTGCTTCCTAATGCTCGTCAGAAGCCCTGACACTTTCTCACTCCACTAACCCGTGCTCCTGTGTGATTTGGCAGTCTACATGTGAAAGGGGCAGGAGTGGAGGGTCCGACGTACCTCAGTCAGAGGCTGGAATATTGGTACAGCCCATAATAAAGCAAAGATATTCTGAAATGAGAGAGAGAGACTCTGGGACTTCCAAGAGCATGGCTTTTTGTAAGGGGAGATTATTGCATGGTCTTCTGTGGTTGTAGTTCTCTCCCTGGGGCAGGACTGCAGTCTACTTCTCACAAATGTAGAGCTTGAATGTGGAGCAGTCAGCCACCGTCATCCTCGTTGCTGCTAAGCTCGCACAGTTTCCAACCTCTGACTCTTTCCAATCACTTAACACAAAATAAAAGTATATGAATAGTGTGAAATATGCATTCACTAATGCAGACATAATAGGAAATATTGGTCCGAAGTTAAGGTGGTATATTTTTTCTTTCCTTGTAAGAAACTATCCCTTGGTGCCCTAACTTTCCTGAAGAGTACCTGGTGAGGATTATAGGAATGAAATTGAAATACCTCCCTCTCTCCTTCATACACTCATTTTCTGAACCTACGTTCTTTATGTATGGGAGCATGTATATGCCTGGACATGTCTGCATATATGCCTGTATAGGAATGTGGCATTTTTCCCTGAGACATTCAGAAATGTAAACCAGGACCTGTGATTATAGAACGTATTAACTACTATCTCCTCTAGAGACTTACATTTTGAGAAAAGGTGGTGATTTATCTTCCCATGTCCAGGAACTTCCAGTTCCTTTACGGGACAGTCCAATCCAGTGGAAGTAGGATAGCTGACTTTGAATGAAGTGCTGTAATGAAAAGGAGTATATTCGATAAGAAGAATTCTTTGTATGCTTCTGAAATGAAGTCATGATTTTGTTAATATTTTTATTGTTTTGAATAACGAAAAGCATAACGATCGACTTCATCCTGATTTATTCAAAGTATAAAATAATGGAACCTCAGCTATTGATATTTTACTAAGTATAGTAAATAAGTGAAACATAAAGTAACCCTCTCTTAGTTTGGCTAGCTTGATTTAGTCTTCAAACTGAAATCTCCGAATTTACTTTCAAAACTTATGCCTGTAGCTCAAAGGCGAATTTTGAATAAAGTCTGATTTGTGCTTTGGGGTCCAGGTGTGACAGCTGTGATGTTTCTACGAATGTTGTTTTATATTTTTGTTCCACAGGTACTCTGTTTATTTCCTGTGAATTGGGCATCTTGAAGAAGTCTCCATGCCGTCAGATGAAGTGTTTATATAGCTGGCTGGAAATTGCTTGGTAAGTGAAAAGTAACTAATACTAATCTTGTACTTTAGTGTTTACAATGTGTATGCACATATATTACCTAGCTTGATGTTCCTCAATATGCTGGGGAGAAAAATACAGCCAGTTCTAATACCTACTCTCCATTCTTCCCTAATGAGGAAACTGATGCTCTAATTGATGCAGTCAAACAAAATAATGTGTGAAAGGGAGTTAAATTGAGGGTTTCTGACTGTAAATTCTATTTTCCTATTCTGCTTTAATTTTCATCCTTAGTTTTTATTTTCTTTTGTTTCTTTCCCCATAGAGAAGAAAACAAAAACTTAATCCCTCTACCCAGAAAAAGAAATGACATATATATGTCTAGATACAAAACTTGGCATTCAACTTCAGGGTTTTCATAAATGCTTATATTTCTTGATGAAGATACGCTGCATGAGAGATTAGGGCTTCTAGATTGTAAAACTCATTCTTAAACCCTCTCTTCTGTATATCCATTGATACCAAATTACAATTTCTCGTGTCAAAAGATGCAGTGGATAACTCAGTAACAGGTTATTGAATATGATATATTTTACAATGTTCTTCTAAAAATCTACAAGTCTAAAATAAGACTGAGGATAAACAAAGTGAAGGTCCAGACACTCATAGGAAAAGCCAGAAGTTCCATGACTAACATGGAACTCTCACCTCTTTGCTAATGTTTCCATAGTCATTGTGGATGGTAGAGTGCAGTGTAAATACTTCTGAAAATCTGGTTATTATCCATATAAACTCTATAGTTCTTATCTAAGAAGATTATAAGGGATTTTCTCATTAAAATGTGATTATTAGTTGGACAGAGACAGATTTCACATTTGCTCTGTTACTTGGCTACTTTTAAACATGTTATATTTTCACATGAGCTCTTTGACCTGTCTGTAAACAAAGTCGGAATTTTAAAATTTACCCTATCAAAAATTATAATTTTCTTTTTTTTACTAGAGACATAGTTGACATACAAGATTAAATTAGTTCCAGGTGTACAACATAATGATTCATAATTTGTATGCATTGCAAAATAATTAGCCCCAAAGTCTAGTTAACATTCATTACCTTGCATGCATTTTCTGTTAGAGTAAAAGGCAGTTAATTCAGACTCTACAAATGTCTTATTTTGGGATTCAAATTTGCTTCATTTCCTTAATGATTTTTAAGTTCATATTTTTAATAGCTATTTATGAGTTATGAAAAGCCAAGTATATGGATCATTGGCCTAGTACAGAAAACTGAGTAATTGTTGGTGTCTATTAATCTATGAGAGGATATTAAAAGATTTCCCTTAACCTGGAATGTAAGGATATATATTTTTGAAAGAATAGTGGTAAATTTTTTCTATATTCAAAACAAGACATAATGATAAGAAGTATGACTATGTAGTTCAGTTTTCTTGCAAACTAGTATGAGTTAAAATTGAATTGAATTGAAATTAATTGACCTTCAATTTAAAATTGATATTGAGTTTTTTCTTTTACCTCAAGCTCAGTGGTGATGCTGTATTTATTGATTTTGTTAGAGGTAAATTAATTCTTTTTCAGAGAGGCTAAAGCTAAATTTCAATGAAATTATCAATATGTAAATAGAGTTATCTGTGATAAATGATATATTTTAAGGGTGAATATTTTTCTAATTGCTTCATGTTTGCCTTTACACTTGTTGTACTGTAAAAGTTCTGATTGTAGATGAATTAGATGAATGAAATGAAATTCTAATTTCACTTCTATTTGTATTTCTGACTCTAACATGAGTACTCTTGGGATCTGAGTCAACTTACAACAGTAAACTTTGCTAAGATGCTCACATTATCAAGCATTAAGATGGAGCCAACATCTAGTGGCTACACAATTATGGTGTGAGATGGAAAACAGAAAATATACATCACCAGTTCTTTCTCAGTTTCTATCTTAAGAAGCCTGGAGTTCATCTTCTTGCAGAATTTTTGGCTCTCGTCAAAGGTCTTCGGTTCATTGGCAAAATAGTAACATTTCTGTCCACAACATGACCATTTAGTTTCACACTTGCTGCTTTCCCTTCCTTGAAAACAAAAGATATTCCCCGGAGACCATTTAGTGTGTGCCAGACAGGAGTGCTCTAGAGCTCAGAACTCAGGAGTCCTTTCTAGTCCTTCTAAAAACATTTATTTCAAGAGACTGATGGCCATTATTTCTGTTTTCTGAAAAGAACCCTGGCCTGGGAAGAGGGTACGTGACTTATAGTCCTCCAAATCTATGTATAACTTTATTAAAATTTTATAGAAAGAGTTTCTAAGAAAACTAGTGTTTTCCTTCACAGTCTCTAGAGAGGACTTCACAGTGGGAAACAGCGTCTTTGTACTTTCTAGACTGAGTAAAATCTGTAGGTACAGAGCTGATCTTCGTGCATTAATCCAGCATCTGATCTACACAGCCACATCAGAGCGTATCAACAATGATTAGAAAATGTGCTAAAGGAGGTGTAGGATTTTTTTTTTCGTAGAAAAAAATATTATTTTGAGGAATGGTGATTTAAAAGAATATAGTATGATGCAGACAGAAGACTCTAACCTCTGGGAGAGACTGATATTTTTTTCAATTACGTAAAAATGAAAGTTGGCCTCCACAATTGGCTGAGTCTAAGAAAATCCATTTTGAGCAATTTCTCAAGTGATTGAGGGAAACAGAGAAGAAACTTGTTTGGGTTCAGTTTTCATATCTGCATACCTCCGCTAAGTAGCTCCTCTTTGAAACTTGTGTTTTTAACTGTGGAATTGTCTTCTTGTTTCACGTTGTCCAGTGGAGACTTCTTTAATTGGCCTCCCTGACAACCCTGGAAAACTTTACCATACATCATTAGCTCGAAGAAAACAGAACATGGAATGGACTGAAGGCACAATTTAAAATTGAACACGTCAGCTAATGTTCAGGAGTTTTATTCCTGGGCTTTTAAGGTACCTCTTCGTTGCTTACGATTTACATACTTCCATCTCACTTGTTGAAAATACATGAATTAGTGACAAAACATCTTAGTAGGCCTTGATGATAGAGTGATGAAAAATATGAAGCTTCTGTCCTCAAGAAACTCACTCATGGCAGTGGGGAGCGTATGCAACTAGAGTACCATGCAATGAGTGACACAACAGAGATACCCGCTAATTGTTGTTAGAACTCAGGAGAGGGCTGACTGACTAAATGCAGGTCAGCGGGACTTCACACGTTAGTGTAAATCTTAAGTCTGCTTTCTGCCCATGTCTGAGAAAGAGGCAGGAGACTGAAATAGATGGACAATAAAATTCTGGATTGCTGCAATCACTGCTCCAAACTAGAGACACGGAGAGAACATGACATATTAAGGGAGTTCAATGTTAGTACTCCATAAGATGGCTTGTGTATAAGGGTAGGAGAATTATATCTCCATGAAGGTACTATATAGCTGTTACATATACAATTATGTACACACACACACACACACACGCAATTGAAAGAGCTTGGTTTGCAAACCAGGAAGCCTGAAGCCGAGGCTCAGCCATGCCATTAAACAGCATGGTGTTTTTTTTTTTTTAAATACACATAAAGAAATGTAAACACTCAACTGATGGCAACCAATTGTAACTTCCTTTAATGGAAGACTTGTTAGTTGGTAGATTATTTTTGAATCACCTGCAGTGTCTAGTATGAAAGGAAAGTGATCCAGAGCACTGGGTCTCAGTGAGGGGTGATTTTACCTTCCAGGAGCATGGGCAGTATCTGGAGAGATTTTGGTTATAACTCCTGTCATCTAGTGAGTGGAGGACAGGGTTGCTGGCAAATAGTCTATAAAGCACAGGACAGCATCCCTAATAAAGAATTATCCCATCAGAATGTCAATAGTGCTGAGGTTTAGAAACTGATCCAAGGGGGAAAAACAGCAGGATGAAAATTTATAAAAGGTCATAAAATGGGATTTAGAAAGAGAACTGATATCTGGTTAGGGAATTAGAAAATATATCATGGAATATTTGGAAAAGCAGTCCATGTCCTATAAAATGGGTCTTGAGGGATGGGTATGATTTCCATAGGCAGATGTAGGCCCCCTGGGGAGGGCGGTACAGATGAAGGGAACAGCATAAACAAATGTGCTGGGGCAGAGAAACTCAAGAGAACCTGTGGGGAACAGCAAATGATCTAGAATTATTTGAAGCCAATTTGGATGTAGGGAGTAAAGCTTAAAATCATTTGGTTGCAAGAAGATTATTATTTATGAAAGCAAGTATATGTAGGAGAATTTTAACAGTTCAGTAAAGAATGAAAAACCGTGAACAGTTTCTTGGCATTTTGATGACATGATCATAGATGGATTTGGAGACATTTATTTGGCAATTGCAATAGGATTTTGAAAGCCTGTTGACGTTAGGATAAATTAGGAGGCGATTGTAATAGTACAGGAGAAAAGTACTGTTGGGTTGTATTGGAGAAATTTGTGAGAAAAAAAAATTTAAAAAAGTAAATTTGAGCTACAGAATGGAGATTGCAAGAGGACTTGACTATTTATTGAGAGAAGGAATAAGAGAGGACAGAGAAAGTTGATGTGGACACGGCATGGTCAGCCATCAGCAAAAGCTCAAATATGATCGCTCCTGGAAATATCTTGAGTATGATAAAGGCTTTATAAGTAAAGAAGATGTCAGAAGCTTTTTTTTTTTTTGAGGAACTTGGAAAATGGTCCAGTGATTACATTAGTAGTGAAAGTGGAAGGTTTCCTGGGTCGAACCCAGGAAATCATAGCTATGAAACTAGCAGGAAAGGAAGACTGATAAAAAGAGTAATTGCTAAGGGAGGAGATACTTGGTTCAGGCCACAGATCTCATTTAACTTACCCATGAATCCCATGACTCCTGTTGTTATTAGGAGAAAGAAACAGAGTATTCCAAGAATCACTACGGTGAGAAACCAGGCAAACGGAACTGAAGACCCTGCCCAGAGAAAACAGAAGCCTGAGGAGATCAGCAGAGAAAAGACTGAATTACAGAGCAGGGTTCAGAGGGAGATGTTCCACAAATTCAAGACCCTAAGCCTTGAATGTCTTCCAACTTGAAATTATAAATTGAAAGGGATACTGAACAATTTGAAACAATAGTGGACAGAGAGCTAGATGCCTGGGTTCTGCTGTCTGTTCTGTTACCATGTATCTCTTAGGGCATCCACTGAATCTAACTACCAAAATCATCCCCTAATTCATCGGAATGGTTCACGAATACAAAGGGAAAATTAGATACATAGACTTGGTTTTTAAAATGCAAACATACTTCTAAAATATATCTGTATAAATCAATTTTATTGACCCACAATAGAAGATATTTAGTACTTTGTAAATATCATACATTTATGCATATGTGTGTATACATATATATCTCCACAATTTTCTCATTGGAGCTTCACTACGATTCTTCAACATTAGAAGACATAATTCCAAGCGTATATCAAAATTATTAATCGAATATTATTTCTTTAAGCTTCACAGAATGAGTGGATAGTGACATCAGGAGATTCACTGTTGTTCCCAAACAAATTGAAAAGAAATAATTTTTTTACTTGACTTGTTCCGTTATAAGTGTATGAATATAGAACCCAAACTGCATTAATTATCTGGGATATACTACACATGGATATTCACTTTCAACACCACTTTCTTGTTTAGGTTACAAGAGCTAGTGTGAGCAGCCTCGTGGAACAGGGAACGCTGACTTAGTCATTCAGAACAGTGGTTGGCTAAGCGACGGGGGGACAGGTAAGCTGGGTCCTCGACATACACTTTACCTTTTTCTTTAGGTGATTCAGTTCTTGTTATCTTTGTGTGATCGGACTTGGAAGTACATGTTTTCACTTCTGTGTAAATTAGCTGCTCTTTCATCTCTGGAGGTTAAAACAGAGATGTGGTTACAGCTTCACAGTCACACCATTTCTCAGAAAGCATGTAGGTTATAAATATGTGTGAAGAGAGTTGACAGAATAGATTTTTTTTTCCCAAATGAAAGAGATGTATGTAACTGTTCTCTTACCATGCAAAGTTCATCAGGTAAATCCTTTTTTTTTAAAAAGTGTACATTGTGGTGATTTAATATACCTACACATTGTAAAAGGATTTCCCAAGTAGTTAATTAACACATCCATTACCTTGCATATTTATTCTTTTTTTTTTTTGGTAAGAACATTTAAGTTCTACTCTCTTAGCAAATTTCAATTATAGGTAAATCTTTGAAATAAGACAAAATCTTGAAAATGAGTTAGACATAATGTGTCACCTGCTAAATTATAACAAAATTATTTAGAAAAGTTATTTGAAAAGGAATAGGAAATAGTGTCAGGATTCAGTAGGGCTTGGGAGAAAAAAATACTCACTTTTTTTTTGCATCTGCTTCTTGGAAGGAATGTTTTTCACTTCTGCGTATGTTATGTGTTTTTCAGTCATCTCTAAAAATTTTTGAGGTACAATTCTAAGACACATAAATGGACAATTTTTTTTTTAAACTAAGCTTTCAGGTTCTGTCATTTCATTGTCTGTGTATCACTGAAATCACTATTTCGTGCCATTGAACTACTGATTCTTGCTTTTACTTTTATAATTTTCTTCCAAGAAAGATTTTTGCTGCAGATTATTTTCTTTCCTAGTCTTAAAATTATCAGTTATCAGCACCTGTCTTTAGATGCTTGCATAGTCATTTCACGTCTACCTGAAGTTCTCCAAATATGAAATTTACTGTAACTTGAAAAGGGTAACATTGCTATGATCTATAGAATATTTACACTTAAAAATTGTCCCTACCCAGAAGAATACCACGATAATTTTTATGAGTCATTTGTACTGTAGAGATAGTGTTACATAATGAGTCATTCTAACATTTCTCCTTCATGAGCTCTCCAGATACTGTTTCTATTTATCTCCACTCTGTTTTTGATTGATGACAGTTTACGTACCATAATCTCCTAAAGCATTGTTGCCATCTCTTCCAACATGGTACTAAAAACGAAAGCCCTACAATTAGGACTAAAATTGTTTTACTTATTCTCCTGTGGGGTGTGTGGCATTATGCCCATAACACTTGAAGGCATAGGCAAAAAGCACCCAATTCTCCTGGAAGGATTAATTTTATTTGCAAATTTTGGAAAAGTTAATTTGTTTCAAGTGTTTTAAATATGATTTTTATAATCAAAGAAATTTATCTGGAGTAGAATTGCAACATAAAATGGTTAAAATTTTCATTGCTCACTAGTTTGCTAGTGTAGTAGCAAATAAAACAATTGTTACATATTTTTATTTCTCAGAGAATTATTCCCTGTTTTTATCTTTTATAATATGATTAAAATACACAGGCCTCTAAATATCCGTAACATTCATTTATAACATTTGGTAGCTTCCCACAAGATAACTTCTCGTAAGAAAACATGATTGTTCACAAGTACATTTATAATGCCTTTAAAAAATTCTTCACCAAGTCTTAAATATCTCAGGAATATGGAAGCTATATCACATAAATAAGAAAATTCTAGATGTATGTGTGAAATAGAGAAACATAGTATTATATAGACATAAAAATTGATCACTGATTAAATAATTTTTTATTACTCACATCCTGTCTTCATTGATGTGAACATTACCTCTATTATTAACTCACTTGGTTACATCCAAGAGATACATTGAAATATTTGCTAAGAAAACTATCTGTTATGTTTAACGGTAAACCATGAGAAATTATGAGGCAATTTACCTTATAAAGTAATTTTAAACCTGAATGAATTAGCTCTTTTGCCTGCAAGATTAAATTTACTAGATTAAAAAAAAAATCTCTATGTGCTCTGTAAACGCACTCAGGTGGCATTCGTGACAATGGGCTACGCCGAGAGCCACGGCTATGCATGTAATACCTTGGTCAGCGCGGTTGTTTCTGCTGGAGTCTGGTCCAAATAGACGTCAGCCCCAGGGGCCGAGTGGCACAGATGTCTGTGAGCTGGAACTCAGGACAGTTCTGGGCGCTGTAGGTTATTTGCCCTTGTTACCAAAGAAGCTTCAGTATTTGCCAGCTCCTCGTGAAGACAGAAAGCAGCTCCTATTTGAACGTCAGGCTTTTTGCATCTTCTGTGACAGAGAAAGGCGGTTTTTGAAGAGAAGAGATGAATGGGCAAAACAATTTAAAGGGCCATGCCCATTTTGCACAGAATCCACACACTGCATACTAAAAAAAAGGACCATCATCACCACTGCAGCCGCCACCATCAAATACTAAGATTCTAAATATAATCCTGAAAACGGACTAAAGTTTGGGTTCTATATAAAATTTGTAGTTAATTAGATACTTAAATCCATCTTCTAAACTACCTTAGTATTAGCCAAGTGAAAACACATGAACACTAGTATCCATCATTCTTCACATTTATCTGAAGGAGATTTTGAATAATAAAGTTTTAAGATCTTAAGGTTTGTTAGGTGGAGAGCCAGTCAGTCCATGTTTTCTTTAAAATACATCTGGATTCAATTGCCACTGTTTTCCAGAGCAGTTTTTGTACAGTTTGTTTTTGAGTTCATTCCAGCAGAAATACACTCTATATTCTCTCTCCATCTAAACTTCAGACTTTGATGCTATTTGGTTCCCTTCCCCTCTGGTATGTAACCTAATTATAAAGAGCAGAAATATTTTCGCTTCCCCCTTATTCAGTCTGATGTAGCATCTCCAGTGGTGTAATGGATAAACAGTGACAATGCAGTTGAAATATATGGGTTTCAACTCAGTAGGAAACGATCGAAAGAGCTCTATCTGTTTTCACAGTTCAATAATAATGAAGGTCAAGATAAAGAAATGTATTTCAGTTGTGGACTGAAGGAAAACCTGTTTTGATATACAAACAATTTAGAGACATTTTCGAACAGAATGTGTGTAATAAAAAAAAAGATAATGCTATGTAGTCTGTGAAAGCGGGATGCGATTTATGTTCAGGCTACCTGTTCTTTTTGGTTTTGGAAGAGTCACTTCTTATTTTTGTCCTGCTCCCTACAGCTATTGTAGATTGCATCTAAAACAGCCATCTGGCAAAGGCAACACTCAACACCACTGTGATTGGAATATCAGACTCTGAAAATATCTGGTTAGGCCTTAGCGTCTCACATTTGCAAGTCCATCAGATGTTTCCATTTTGCCTAATTACAACTTTCTCCACTTAATCAAAAAGTCGATTCTCTGATTCACTTCCTAATCATTTTTCTTTACACTATTATACCTTTTTACAGCAATTTATCTTTCTTAACCAATGATATACTATAATAATTATTTTCTCCGTGAAACACATGCCTTGTTTTTTCTAAGGATTTCCCTAACTGTAATCTTTCATATTCTGCGTGGGTCTGTTAGTCTTTACTATGTTTATGCTTCACCTTACAAATTGCCTTCTCCAAGTTTTAAATATGAATTTACCCAGATTACTGAACATTTTACAAGATGTCAGCACTGTGCCAAGCACTTTGCAGATAATATATCTCATTTAATCCTGAAATAATTTGAAATTTATAAAAAATAAATACCATTATTTATTATTATTATGTGGTAATGTAACCTCATAGGCATTGTTAACTCTTTGTTGTCTTTTCTTAATTTCAAGAACACACACGTAAACCCAAAAACATCCAAAAGTCAAAGTACACTGAAGAACCTGTTACTCCATGTAAGCCTTAGCCTTTAGTTAGCACCAAGAGCAAAGCAGAAACAAAAACAAATGAAAGAACTAAAAAATTCAAACTATGGAAAAGAGGAGGATGTTAAGAAAATGTTAGCATTGGGAACACAATATTTATGATCTACGAAATCTACTTTTAAAAAATAATCTTGGTGGTGTCACAGTTTCAAAATATTATTTATGCTCTATTTCTTTGATTATAAAAATTAAAAATCAATTTGTATTTTCTGACTTCCTTTTTATACTAAACACATGGCAAGTTTATTTTCCTTTCTGTCTTACTTAGAATTTTAATAATATGACTAATGTTATAGAAATGACAGGCCAGCCAAGAAACAAGCACCACATGGAGGGTTGGAGTACTCAGGTTTACTACGCCGGTGGGCTCAGAGGTGCTTCTGCTCTGAGGCTCTGAGCACCTCCAAAACGTGAGCATGAGGTTTTACAGGGTTAATTACAAGCTTGGGGTATTTGGCCAATAGGCATGGAACAGCTTTAGCAGCATCATTATCCCAAAGCAGAGGCAGGGAGGCAGCCAACTGACACTCCAAGGCCAGATACGTCTCTCTGAAAATCCAGCTAGCTAGCAAAAAAAAAAAAAAAAACATGAGCAGGGAATCAGCAAACTGACACTTACTAACTTAGATTTACGAGTTAGCCCAGCCCGGCTTTTCCTTCACACTAATACGTCACACCTATTAGTATTCAGTATTTTGCTTTTTGATGAAAGAAATATTTTTCACTATGTAAGCAGAGTTAAAAGCAAAGTTTTAGGAGACAATAATTACTCAATAAAATATTAAAATATTGGGCAGACAGAAAAGCCTTTGTTATGACCTTTTGCATAATTGTTGACAGATTTTATATCCTCTGTTTTCTTCAAATGACTAAATCTGTGTTGCATGTTGTTACACAAGAGTATTTATTAAATTTTATTTAAAAAACTATTTTATACTAATTTTAGTTTCACAGAAATGTTGCAAACATTTTCCATATAATCTCTACCTAATTTCCCTTAATTCAATCATCCTACACTACCATAGCCAAAACCCGAAGTACTAAGCGTTGATACATTACTATTAAGGAAACTCCAGATTTTACTAGGATTTCATCACTTTTTCAATTAATATTCTTTTTTCTTTTTCAAAAATGCAGTTCAGGATACAACATGACATCTAGTCATTGTGTCTCCTCTGTTCTGTGACAGTTCCAGTCTTTTCTTGCGGTCGGGTTTCATGTCAAATGCCCTTAATTTTTGTTGTGATGTTTTCCTCATATTTAGACTGGACTTACAGGTTTTCCAGGAAAAAAAAAACAACAAAAAACAAAAAACAAGTAAAAAACAAAAAAAACTACTACAAAGGCAAAGTAGCCTGATCATCAAATCTTACCAGGGATACATTTATTCACAAGGTATCACTGGTGGTCTTAACTTCATCCCTTGGTTAATTTAGTGTTTGCCAGGTTTCCCCATCGTGAAGGTAGTATTTTCTGCTTTCCCCACTCCGTTCTTTGGAGGCAAGACAGCAAGTCCAGACCAGCCCCCTGGGGAGGGAGTGTCTGAAAATTTTCCCCGCTCCTTCAGTGCAGTCGTGTTACACATTTGTGACATAGTTAGAGTCTGCTCTCACAGTCTGCATTCCCTCCTGGGATACCTTCAGATCTTGATTGATGAGTTTTTGTTTATTTCAGCCTGCATTAAAGTTCACCATTTGTGATGCACAGTTCTATGGACTTTGACAAATGCGCAGAGTGGTGTATCTGCTACCCCAGGAGGACACTGAAGAGTTCCTTCACCGTCAAATTTCCCTGTGTCCTGCCTTTGTAGTTGGCCATTTCTGTTTTCTGTTCCCTATCATGTTACCTTTTTCAGAAAGTCATTTGAAGAGAATTACATAATGTGTATTCTTTCATTTAGCAGAAAGCAAATAAGTTTTATCCATGTTGTGTGCATCAAGAGCTCATTCCTGTGAAAAATGTTAATTGTGGAAAACATCATAACATAAAATTCACCATTTTCGCAGTTCTGAAGTGTGCCCTTCAGTGGCATTAAGTGCATTATCAGTGTTTTACAACTCTCACCGCTATCCATTTACAGAACTGTTTCTTCATTCCAAGCAGAAACTCGGCACCCATTGAACAGCAACTCCCATCACTTGTCCTTCCAGCCCCTGGCAGCCTCTGTTCTATTTTCTGTCTCTGAATTTACCTATTCCAGGTATCTCCTATAACTGGAATCATATAATTTTTATCTTTTTTTTTGGCTTTTTTTCACTTAATGTTTTCAAGGCTTATTCACATTGTAGCATGTACCAGAATATCATTTCTTTTTATGGCTGAATCATATTCAATTGCATGTATACACTACATCTTGTTTAAACGTTCATTAATGACTGTCGATGAGCCCTTAAGATGTTCCCATCTTCTGGCTACTGTGAACTATTCTGTTATGAACATTGATGGATTTCATGGATTGTGCCTTTGTTTTTGTATCTAAAAAGTTTTCACCAAATCCAAGGCCATACGATTTTCTCTTCTGGTATATTCTAAGAGTTTTATAGTTTTGAGTTTTGTATTTAGGTCCACAGTCCATTTTGAATTAATTTTTGTACTATTTTTATTGTACGATAAGGACAGATTTTCAAATATACACTTGACATGTTTTTATCTAGCTCATTCTAAGTTAAAGTTTAAGCTGAACTTTCTTTGTCAATAGTACGTTAAAGTCAATGACAACAGTCTAATCATATCATTTTCAAACGTTTATCTTACTTTATACTAAAAATATAAAGTGTTCAAAAATGACACATAGCATACACATTAAAATTAATAGTACATTTGCAATTTATTAAAATAGATTTGAAAAGAAGTGTAATTTTGAAATGCATTTTACTTTTAAATTTTAAATGGTTGAAAGAGATGACATTGAATTGACTTAACTGATGATCTGAATCATTCTTTTCAATAAATCCTTTTCCACTTTGAAAATTTCCTGTCATACATGGGGGCCAGCACCCATCTGAATGCAGTTAAAATTACCTACATATCAGCAGGGTTGAGAATCCGGGTATTGTTGAAGGAAGATTAATAAAATGGCCACATTTAGGCTAACAGATTGCTTATTCTTATGCTTGCTCTTAAAATGGTCAACTGACCTGACTGACTGGTTGCTACCCACAGTCCCAGGCCCACTGTTAAAACTAAAGCCACTGATCTTACTGTTTCTACTTTATCCCAGTAATTGAAAGCTATGATCATGCTTGGTTTTTGAGTCGATCTCCAGGGAGAAGGTCACAGAACTGTAAACTTATGAAGTAGGCTGAATACTGAGAAGACCACACCTTGAGTGCTTATGAGATAAAGAGATCTAACTGCTGGCCTCTATAGAATTGGTCGCCTGGAGGCATCATGACGCCATTCTAAGTCATCTGATGAGAAAATGGTTCTGTTGATCATTATCAATGCTTTATTGTTTGAACTATGGCTAAATAACCACCCCGCCCCATCCCCAAGGTGGGTTCACAGTTTTGAAGGCACTATCCTGCTGTGAGTCCCCTTGATGCAGGAAAATAGATGTGGGGCGTGAGAAGGGCCATGTCCCAGGTCTCGGTTGAGCCCCTGGGACGTGCCCCAGCAAATGTAGGTCGTTGGCTTTGCGCAGGAAAGAATTCAAATGCAAGTCACCGTTGAGTAAAGGTAGATTTATTTAGAGAGATACATACTGCACAGAGTGTAAGGCAAGAGAAATGCAAAGAAAGAGGTGTGGGAATTGGGTGCTCAGGTTAAAGTAGGTACACACTCCATAGACAGAGTGCGGGCCGTCTCCAAAGAGGAGGGAGCGAAAAGGGCCACTAGGCGTGGTGTTGCCATGTTTTATGGACTCAGTAGCTTCACACGCCTACAGGTGGGACATTCCAACTGCCCC